GCCTTTCTAACGGGCCTCGCATTTGGAAGTGTATCATATAGTGACATATAAAAAGTGTTATTATAGATATAATATGTGTAGTGTATGTATAAATCTATTTGTCATATAACTACACACAATTTTAGTGTTGATTTTGAATGAAATTCAATAACATATAATCTATGCTTACAAATTTTAGCAATATACCAACATGTATTTTATTTATAATATAGGTAAAAGTAATTTTTAGTAACAAATATTGTGTCACTATATAATAAGTGTTATCACATGTCTTTTTTTTTTGTTCGTCCCTGCAGTATCCACCGCTGATAGTAGTGATTCTCCTCGCTACGTTGGAAGCACCTCAAAGGGTGGGATAACTGACCCCAAGATTTAACGCGACTGCATACACAAGACAGGATTCGAACCCTCGACCTTGCTTAAACGTGTTTTTAGTGGAAGTTATTTTTTTTCTTCTCTTTTTCCAATGATCATATTTAGGTTAAAAATTTATGAATCCAATCTCACTATTAAAGAAAGAAATATAAGAAAAGAGTGGTATCAATAAAAATATATATTTTATCTCTCTCTCTGTATATATATATATTCAAAAGTAACATTGAATGACCATTTATTGTAATCTATTACATATAATAAAGGAGATTATCTCATTTGATATAAATATCTTTTAAACGATTTTAATTTTTTAAATAATAAAAAATAATTTTAAAAATTAATCATTCTTACAAAAAAGTCAAACTCAACACTTTTAGGTTTAAAGACCAAATACAACACTAATTAATATATCAAACATTAATAATTTTTAAACAATTTTATTAAATAAACTATAGAGGCATGAAGTACCTCAATCCCACTGGTAAAAATAAAATCTATGAATACAACAATATTGATAAAATATTAAAATTAAATAAATATTATAACCTTAATAAAAGTAAAATCAAAATAAAAAATAAAATGTTTCTATAGTTATAATATAATTTAAAATATCTAAAATAATAGAAAAATATTGTAAAATAAAATAAACTATAAAAAAATGCACATATTATCTCTTAATAATAATAAATATGTAAAACAAAATGAATATCTTTAAAATTTTTATAAATATTATAATAATAATAATAATAAATATAATTAACAAAATTTATAAAAATTAAAAATTCTCAAAAATAAAAAAATTTATACATATTTATGTACGGTCTAATTATTAATATATATGAAATTGTATCTTAATTTTTAGAATTTTGATTTTAATTAATATCTTAATCTTTAAAATAATTATTTGAATGGAATCAGTTGTAACTATATATATAATTCAAATAAAAAAATAATAGTAGATCAATACTATAAATTAAAAAAATTACTACATTGATAATATATTAATAATTTAAAATAACATAAAGTAATCTGTAAAAAAAAGTAGAAAGTAATATTATAAAAAAATAAAAATAAAAACATATTCATACACGTACGAGGAACCAAGTAAAGTTATTAATATATATTTATATGTTTATTTTATGTTTTTCAATTAAAACTTTAGAAATTATAACAATTTTAATAATTTTTAATTAATTAGTATTTTAATAATTAAAAATAAATAGTTATTTAAAAAATTTGAAAAATTATTTAGACTTAAAAAGAGAAAAAAAAAAGCATTAGAATAAAAAACATAATGATAAAAATTAAAAGAGTTAGTAATAATTTATAAA